TTTTGCAGACTCTGGTTATTAAGTTTGTAACATAGAAATTATTGTGAAAGGCGATTTAAATTTCTATCTCTTTCTTAATACTGTTGAGTAGCCTTGACCATACTATCGAATGTTGTAAATGTTAAACTGCATTTCCTTTTCTACAAGAAATGAAATTAACTTGTTTTGTGCCTTCAAGCAGTCTTTGAAGGAGAATTCTCCAAAACCATAAACATTTCTTTAGTTACTCCTATTTTGCTGCTTATGCTGCCGAATGATAGTGACAAGTTCGTCTTTTCATGTTTAGGACGTACGAAGAAGACACTTCCGGTACGTTCTATTTTCTTATTGCAGTTCTACATCCAATGTTTTCATTTTTACATGATAGTAGCGGCATATGCTTCTGTCAGGGTTAACTACTGAATTCTTAGGTATGATATAATGCGTATGGCCAAACAACATAAACGATATGTTGAACCATCCAGATTCTCTATGATGGCTTGAAAAGTTCATCCACTGTGACAGTTTTCATGATGCTACTATGTTGCTTTTATTTGATTCATCCTTAAAAAAAAAAACACGTTTTCCTGTATGAAATTAGGTGAAGTTCTCGTGTTATTAGTTTATTAGGACTTCTTAATCTCCAGAACTGTTTGATAATAATACCATGTATATGTGTTCTAACTACTCACTGGAAACCTCTTTGGTTTCTATAACAGAGAACTTGCTTTATAGACGTGAGAACAAGTATATATAGAAGCAGTGTTTTCAGAAGAGTAGAGCGTGACGAAACGTGGAGGTCGAGCTTAGACGGAGCCTAGATGTTAAAAAGCATAAAAAAAAATGTTTTCTTATTTTAATATTATTTAAAAATTTTAAATCAATGTAAAAATTATTTAATAATGAAAGGAAAAAAAGTGTAAGAAAGAGTTGAAGGGCTTAAAAAAGCGTAAAAGCATAAAAGGTGCGCGCTAGGCATGTCTAGGAGTGTAAAAATTTAAAAATTGAAAAAGCTTAAAAAAGAGCGAAGCGAGGCGTTTTGCTCCCGCTTCGCTCCGCATTTGAGAACACTAATAGAAGTGTCTAATAGCCTCGAAACCTCTATATATTCACTCATTCATAATGAAAATAAGCTGCTTATTTCTCAGTCTTATCTTAATCTCGTTTCAAGCATAAATTGTATGAGGTGTAATTATATAATATGAAGTTGATATTCCATGCCATACAGAAAATTAGAAATGCTTCTAGAGGGAAGTTCTTAGAATTTTGTGTATACAAAATAGTTTGCCATTTATGAACACTTCTCAGGTCGAAACCACAAGATAATCATGTTGTCTCATTTGAGTACTCTTCCAGCCCTTCCCAGCTCACCTACTATAGGGCTGTAAGGCCATAGGGCCAGCTATAGAGAAAGGGAATAATACACACAGACCTCTAAATTCAAAATTAAAATATTCCTACTAATATAATTTTCTAAAACGTTCTTTCGATCCTGAAATGAGCAGGTATCCCTAGTGCAACATGTGCGTATGATGTTTATTGCTTTGGGAAGATTTTGCTCGTGCTAGTAACAGGCGAGCTGAGTATCAGCGGTTGTAGTAATTCCTCGACCGAGAAGTGGTTAGAAACAACATTAACTTACATCAGTAGGTCGGACAAGGACCTCGTTACAAATATTGTGGATCCGTCATTAGTTGTAGACGAGGATTTGTTGGAGGAAGTATGGGTGATGGCCATTGTTGCCAAGATTTGCCTCGACCCCCAGCCTAGAAAGCGGCCCGGTATGAAGTATATTCTTAAAGCTTTGGAAAATCCTTTGGAGGTGATAAGGGAAGAATATATTAGCTCCAATAGCACTACTTCCTCTGCAGAATTATGGACTGCTTCTCTGTTTGGCAGCTGAGGGCAACACCCCACCATGGAGCTGACAAAGTGAAAATTGATTTATGTGCATATCTGGTAAGTGTAAAAAGATTGGTCATGGTGCACTCGGTCTATTTGCGTTTATATGGGGATAATAATTAGCAATTGTAGCTTCTTCTTCTTCTTCTTCTTCTTCTTTTTTCAAACCTCACACTTGTTCTCATCTTGAACCTGTTTTTGTACTTCAAGTGCTTGGTGTTTTGAAAATTAACTTGCATAATTACATATATTTTTGAGGTTCTCAAATTCGCTATTTTCAGCACAGAATTCACTATTTTCAATTATGCAAAATTTAGCGCCTAGTTTTGTAGTGGTATAAAATTAGGAAAAAAGAAGATAGTTTCTTGAGTTAAAAAAACAGAGATTAGGGCCTGAAATTTTGAGACCCACCTAATACTACATCATAGGTATAGCAGGACATGAAGTAAATAAATAATATATTAAATATCACATCAAGTGAAAATAATTTTTTTGACAATTTTAATCCTCCTATAATTTAATTATTTCAGTAATACATTATTATTCATTTTCAATATGTAATAAGTACTATAAAATTATTGTCATGTGTGAATTTCATATTATTAATTCTCAATTAATTAACATTTGCATTAATTTAGACTTGATGAATCTTGATCTACATGAATTTATAGTTATTATAGATGAATTTATTTTTGTTCATGTGTCTATGAATTTTAATAGGTGTTTAAATTCATACATTAGCAATTAATTCTTATGTACCAAATGTAATATAAAAAAAAGTTGCTCACTTGTAGTATTTCATCATCACAACAAAAAATTGAATCATAAAAGTTGAGTTTGAGAATATAATTTTTTCTTCAATTTATATCCTAAATTTTATTTTCCTTAGTTCGTTTGAGACTTGTCAGTTCCTCCCAAAAAATTGGTATCAAATCTTATTTTTAAAATATTTTTAAAATAACATGTAATATATGTTCAACTTTGAATAGTACATATAAGATGCACGTTAGACCAAGATAAGATGACATGGTAGTGGAGAGATAGATTTGTTAAACTCAAGAGGTGCTCGACTTCATGAACAAAAGTTCCTACCTAAGTTGACTCAGTAGTCTGCCTATTAATTTAGGTACGATGTTATTAAAAAGATAAAATTTATGAATGATTGTAGTATTGAGAGATCAAACTGGGAGAAGACCGTTAGCAACCAACCAAAACCAACAATTTTGCACTTAAAAATCAAATTTTATTTGATAAAATTTATTTATGCATTGAGCTGAACTCCAAATCTGATCGAGACTTAGTATGTCTATAGATCCGTGTCTGTTCCTCTCCAAGTTCATCTTACGGTCTTACCTGTGCCCTTAGATGCGCAAGATTGGAGTCTCTCAAAACACAAAAGGATGGGAGATGACACAATTATATACGCTGTAACGCTTTAAAATGAGTCACAATAGGACACTAAAATGTGAGTGCGAGAGTGACACTTAGAGAAAATAACATAATTTTGATTCGGGTATGTATTTTGAGACGGAGAGAATATCAAAATATTTATTACCCTTGCATTACACTAAGTATGAGAATTTATAAGCACATAGTCTCATCCCTACGACTCACTAATCAAGTATCAGCACGTCACAATGTTGCGTCCTAGGTATCAATAAGTTCACGACCCAACACACTTTCTTAGAAAAGTAAAAGAATGTTGTTTTAAACTGTCTTTGCAGGTAATATTATAGTAGTCACTTTTCGACTTCTTAAGTCAAAACTACCATTTTATATACGGGTTACGGGTTATGGGTCTGTTTCTATCGCTTGGATAATTGATTAAGAATTCGGAAATCGCATAGGAGAAGGGAAGTGACGATCTTGCATTAATTTATCTATCATCGGAGACTTTGTCAACGTGACATTGGGCCGTGACTTCAGCGCCTCGAAAAGCAGTGGTCGACAAGGCAATGGGAGCAATCCTTCATTGCCTCTAAAAGATAGGCTACTGTCTCTAAAGCGCTTATATGAAATCATTGCTGGCTTGTCATGTAAGCAAATGCGATTTCAATTTCGTGTAATTTACACTACATCCATTGAATCTGTTTGCAGGGTTTTGACTTTTCAGATTCCGTGAAAGTTTTCCACAAATTCAACCAGCATCTTCAAATTTTGACCAGTTCCAAATTCAAATTATGTCATCTCGCGATTTTCCAGAGATTGTGGGGCTGAAACGGAAATGGTTAGGGATAATTGGGAGTTTAGGCAAATCGCTCGTGAAGAGTCCAGTAGCAGCATTTCATCGTATTCTACTTCGATTTCCAGTTCAAATTCTTCGCTTTTCGATTCGAATTTGAGTCATTCAATTCCTGGAATTTTATTCACATATGAGCAAATTCGCCAAGCCACTAATGATTTTGGTGAACAAAATCTCATTAAGCACGGCCACTCGGGGGATCTATTTCGTGGAATTCTCGAAGATGGGATCCAGGTAGTAATTAAGAGAATTGAATTGCGTTCAGTGAAGTCGAAATTGTACGTTTCGGAGTTAGAATTTTTCAGCAAGATTTTTTCACATCCACGATTTGTTAATCTCATTGGACATAACTTGACGAATGAGGCCGAGAAGTTTCTCGTTTACATATATATGCAAAATGGGGACTTATCGAATTCTTTGTTCAAGAAAAAAATTCCAGACGATGATCTTTATAGTTTAGTATCACTTGATTGGATAACGAGGCTCAAAATCGCAACTGAAGCAGCAGAAGGTCTGGCATTTTTACACGAGGAATTTTCTCCGCCAATCGTGCACAGGTTTTTTCATCATATATGTATTTTTGATTCATTGGTCACTTAATTAATTTATGAACATCACTTGTACCAATGACTTTGAGGAACTTGAGTCATAAATTTTAGGGAATACCTTACAATTTTTATGTAAAAGCCTTCTCATCAGTTAACCAACTCGCAGGAATTTTGATTAGTATGTCATTCATTTTTCGCTTACATTTTTCTTTCATGTTAGAATGGAGTCTCAATTTCTCGTTTCCCCTCTGTGGCTATTTCATGAAATCTGTTCTGTATTTGATGTTATCCTTGAAAACTTATGCATAAGCTCCATCAGTCACAGTATAGCAGATGCTATGTTGGTAGCTGCTGCTGAGGAGAAAAACAGAAGTCTAAAATAGCATGATTTGTTTCATTGATCCACCCTCTTCTCCCTGAGCTATAATATATGCTTAACAATTAGGTGGCTTTCTTTCATTTTTTGTTCTTGAAGAAATGTCCAAGCCAGCAGCATACTTCTTGATGAGAAGTTCGAAATGAGAATTGGAAGTCTAAGTGAGATCTGTGAGCAGAGGGGGAGCACTCGTCCAAAAATGATTACGAGGTTGTTGCGGTTGCCACAGTAAGTACTTCTTGATTTAGATGTGTTGGCAATGAATTTTCTGTAGTTTGTTACTTACCATGTGCAATTGAAGCTTAAATAGGATTATGCTATCTTGTGAACCCATCAAAACAAACTATAATCTATAAAGCAGTAAAAAGTTGGGAACAAATAAATGTGCACGACATTTAGTTGAGTAAACGGGAACCAATTACTGATCCATTTTGAGTGCCAACACAGCCAAATTGAATTTGTAAAAGGATGCAGAACGACTTTTCTTTGTGCCTTTTGAGCTCCTATATGGATTTTCAGGTTTATGGAGAGCTTTTTCTTCTCGGTTTAGGTTCTGACATTGCCTTTTTGTTTTGTGCGCAGGAATTTCAAACAACGCAGTTTGGGTATGTATTTTTTACTACGTTATCGCCATTGTTGTTCCTTTAGTTCTTTTTCTAGATTTAAACATACTAAGCTCTAGCAGCAAGGTGAAAATTCTTGACTGAATCTTTTCTGAAAATTTCCCACTAGACTTAAAATTTATGTAATCTCATCTAAATGACTGACGTTGACCTCTACCAGTATAACAAATATATGGGTTTTTCCAATATTCTTGCCGTCTTCAATGTCTCTCTCTCTCTCTGTTTCGTCTACTTATCTATGGTCTTTGCGCCGTTTGACCTTTTTCCTTATTTCGATTTCAATTCGCCAGATGAGCCAAATGCAACATGTGCATATGATGTTTATTGCTTTGGCAAAGTGTTGCTTGAGCTAGTAACAGGCAGGTTGGGTATTGACATGTCGGATACTGCCAACTTAAAGACGTGGCTTGCTGAATCCCTCCCTTGCATCAGTATATATGACAGGAATCTTGTGACTAAAATTGTGGATCCATCTTTATTCATAGAAGAGGACCATTTAGAGGAAATTTGGGCCATTGCTATTGTTGCTAAGGCCTGCCTGAATCCCAAGCCTTCAAAGCGGCCTCTGATGAGATTTGTACTCAAAGGTTTGGAGAATCCTCTGGCCGTAGTAAGGAACGATGGCAGAGCTCGAGAAACACTAAAAACGACTCAAGATATTGGGTCGATGCCCCTCGACAAAGCTTCAGGAATAACTAAAGATGACCACAATACTATTGTAACGTGGCCGAACGGAGTAACAGAAAGGTGGGATCACAAGAAGATGCTAGATTCAAATGTATGGTTGTATTAGTTATATATAGTAGTAGATATACACAATAATCATACTGCAAATGATACAAAGAGCTTCAATTCTCAAAAACATTTTATTGAAATGTTAATACGTTTGTTGTGAATCACTGAGTTCATAAAGGTCAAATTCATTCCATTTTGCTGCTGGTAGCAAATTTCGAAAAGATTCATATTTTCCCTAATTTTAATTATCTCGTTTTTTTGGATCCACTTTATATCAAGGATCAATCGCAAGGGGAAGCCATAAGCCAGGCTAATGACTCCGGTCTCAGTGCGGAAGTTTATTATTGAATTTGCTATAGAGGAAGAGGAAAAAATCGAAGTATCTTACGTAAACTAATTTATCTTTTTGTGAGTAAGTTCCATAATGAAACAACTTATTGCTGTAAAATGGGCTGAATAAGAATGTCTAAGTCATTGACTAAATGAATACTCGAGCAGAAGACAAGTACGTCAGTGGAAGTAAAGAAAAGAAAAAATGAATAGCCAAAAAAGGTCCCACCGAGACTTGAACTCGGGTTACTGGATTCAGAGTCCAATGTCCTAACCACTAGACCATGGGACCTTAGTTATTTCTAGATATATTCAAAAACGATAAATACAAATACTTATCCGACGATTTCAAACATTATGATAAACATTGAGAAGTTAGAATTTCTTCTTAAGGAGTCGTTTGGCTCTACGAAACAGTTTCTTGAACACCTTATAAAATGACTAATGTAAATAAATTATAGTTTGAAATTTTGAATTATCAATAACGAACTAATTATCTATAAATTTTACACAAGCTATTTTGGACTTCCTATTCTATATTTCCCCCATTTTTTAACAGCATAGTACACTTTTATTCAAAAACGAAGACAAGCACAAATTAAGTGCTGACTTGCATTTCTTATTGAAAAATGATTGTCGTGCTACCTGTGTAACGACCTGCGTCTCACTTAACGGGCTGTCACGACCGTTAGATCGACGACGTACTATCTCCACTGTACCAACATGAATATTTTCAACATACTTTATCCTCACTCGCATGCTCTACAAAAAAACTTTTCAGGGAGTCACCCATCATTATATTGTTCCAAACCAAGCACGTTTAACTGTAGAATTTCTAACGATGAACTTTCAGAAAAGAAGGCGCACCTTGCTGGTTTGAGTAGTACCTATCAAATCTTTTAAACTTTCCTGGTCTGGATATTACAATCTAACATTTATTTTTTAATTTGATAATTTTTGCAAGAAAAAAAATTGACATATTTTATTTATTATCGTGAGAATTAATCCTACTTCTGGTTCTAGGGCGCTAGACCAAAAAAATAAAATAGAACTTTAGGGTGTATCATCTGAATCATCGGTTCAGTACTAGATGTAGCCATCCGAATCATCGGTTCACCCGGATTACTGTCCCAACACTAATGAACCCTCGCTCCAATTTCTCCCCTAAAATTTCCGAAGTTTGTCCTACTTCTGCATTGATGCTAGCTGTGCCTCTCTGCTGTGTGTGTTCAGTGCTCTCGAGGAGCTGAGTAAAGACGATTCCCATGCCATTAATTCATCATTGGACGTTACCAAACACTAGTGTAGCGTGTTCATCCCTTCAAAGTCATCCCTACCGCACTGGTGGAAAATACCCAACATTCCTGCCACATCTGCATGATCACATGATTTAATAACAAACCGATAACCCGCCTCTTTCCATATGGCCTTAGCCCGTGAACACCAGAAGAGTGTGTGCATCTCAGTTTCAGGTAGTCCACATCGTCCACACCTACCATCAGAATTTATGAGTCACCTCACTAAACCAACCAGAAGCGCATTCTACTCACTTTCCCCTGTGTACATTTCCTTTTTCCCAAAATGCCAAATAAGCCGGTCTTCACCCTGATTCATGCTTAACAGAATTGACAGGATAAGCTCCCAACCAGTAGGTACGAAAGAGGAAATAATCAGTGCTGCAATCCAAGTGCCAAAGGGTAGAATTAGATAACTCACCTTCTTCACCATTTCCTTGTTTGGGATGCTAGATTTTGAGACACCACGGTCTCATTCCATTATAAATTTATTGGAACTAGGACAAGGGCTTAATAATGTTGAAATTCATAAATATCATATTCAACACCCTAGATTTAGATTCTAATTAGCAAATTTGGATTCTAGGGGTGCAAACCAGATACAATTTTTTGTTTTTCTGAAAAATCCATTCAAGTAAAGCTAGAGTACAGTTTCTAGGCCAACACACGTAATCCTGATTGAGGGGAACCATACAATTTTTCTTTTATCCATAAGTTTGTGTAGGTTTTCTAACCCTCTTTCTATCAGGACAACTAGCATTTGGCTTCATATCTTCCCAGCAAATTTCAACATTTACTAGCAACAAGCACGCTCACAAAAACATACAGAGAGACTGTCCCACATTGAAACAATCATATATATGGTCACATATTGCAAAAAGTCCCATGGTTATCCATTCAAAATTTAAAGGTTAACCCACTTATACTTGAAAGCTTTCGCAATGAGTTTTCATGCATGTCACTAGAACAATTAAGAAAAAGACTTTGACATTAGATTATCGTCAGGAGATAATCTCATTTGAAAAAGATGCAACTTAACATTAGTTATCCAACTGCATGGACACAAAAAATATTGAAAAATAATCTCAATGTGTTTCTTGCCAAATTATATTCATAAATCAGCAGGAACACAATATCAAGAAATGCTAACATCTCATCATTTGTCCCTTCAACATAAGATTGTGATCAAGTTACTAGAACAATACAGCTGCTATCGACCCTGCCAACCAGGAATTGATGGAACTGCCATGATTGAATTTGCAGACTTCTCCATCCTGCATAAAATAAGACATTGGCATCAATAAGAATATCTGAAGCTAATCACAGAAAGAGGGAGGGATGGAGAAAAAACTTTGAGATTTCTTCAATTGTCTTCACAACTTCTGAAGAATTTGTCTCTAGAACTTGACCACCCAAAATGAATTCATCCAAAATAATATGCATCTGCAAAACAGCTCAAACATGAAATATACCAATGGGCAGCGACTATCAAAATTCTATAGAACAAGGATTTGAAAGGCTTCTTGAGAATTGTATAGATTAAGCACTAAGCAAAAGTGGCATGTATCCAATAAGTAATCAAAAATTCTACATTTGCACTGATATTAAGCTAGAAGTACTGCAACAGTTTCCACAATTGCAGCAAGAGCATATGTAATAGCAACAAAATCCATTAGTGAAATCAAATACAAAGTGCTAGGACTTAATAAGAAATTAATAGACATCAAGAAATGTTTGGTTGCTCCACTTTATCGATTTCTTATCACGTGAAATCTTGGTGAGCTTAGCAGAAATAACTGTCAATTGTTCATTACAAGCTCGCGATGGAGATAACAACAGAAAAAAAAAGTTTTAACCAGAGTAATCAACTAGTAGTACAGTAAGAATGATTCCGCATCACATTGCTTAACAGTAAGAATGTTAGTACCAATATGCTTAAAAATCAGCAGTTACTTTTGTACAAGCTTTTCAAATTTTATAGAGAAGAATACTAACCTTGTTAAAGTTGAATACCATGTCAAGCTCACATACATTACCGAAACACTTGTCCAATGCCTCAACAAAAACTGTAATTCAATGAGTTAAAATAAACAAACCTACAGAAACAGATGTGTGTCTCTAAAACACAATCCCACAAGTACAATTTTCAAAATGGAAACAGAACAATGGCTAGTTTTTTATGCTCTTCTAGTCAGTAGGAACCCGGAAATAGTTCAAAGCTAAATAAAATCACTAAGCTCAGTTGATAGGCTTTTACAACATGTCCAGTGCTAGTATTGTAATAATAAAAGTGGATACACACGGTTTACAATTCAACCTGGTGATGTGTGTTCCAGGATATAACTTGTATACAGTAGAATCACATGCATTTAAAAAAAACAATAACGTGACCAAAATATGACATACAGTTGAATCAACTTTCTTTCTTACTTGATTTATGTTTCTAAGCTATGTCACGATTTACTATCATAGCAGCTTCAATTATGCAGAGGATCAATGAAGTGAGTAAAAGTTCAATGCAACAAAGTTGGAACACATCAATTGAAAATTTAGACATACCTTGCATAAGATCTAGCATTGCAAGCTCATTCTCAGAGCTATCAAATATGAATACAAAGTACAGAGTAGCGTAAGTCTTGTACACAATCCTCACATCCTGCAAGTATTATTTGTAGATTTTTAAGTACGAGATGGGATAATCCACTTTGAAATTAAAACAATTGTCATTGATCAATCTATTGCTGGTTCATACGACTATGAATATAATGTTCGCTACTTTCCCCAGCCTCTTGCCTTTACCCCCTACCCCCAACAGACACACACACATGCAAACAAGAAAACGCAGGCAGGCAGCACCCCACCAACACCATTCAGCAATATGGACTCCAGCCAAAAATAATCACAACATTAGTATTAAGGCCGGAGAAGAGAGAGCAAATACCGGTCCAAATAGCGAATCAAACTTAACGAAATTGCTCACATTTTCAGCTCTACTGCATAGAACTGCACCACATAACTTCACAATAAGTCTTCACAAATTAAGAAGAGTTAATTTCTAGTTAAACATAATTGATAGTAAATTTTTTTGTAGGAGGCCAAAACATAAATAACTCAATTGATACAGAAAAGGGGAAAAAGCATGGTGGAAAGCTCAAAATATAACTGACTGTAAAATACATATGGTCCGACCTCTGTAAATGCTTCTAATGAGCTCCTGCTGCTTCTCCGCTGGCTAATCTTACAATTTTAATTATGATTTATCAATTCGGTCAAGAAATCAAAAAATCAAAACACGAAACTGAAATTGAATCGAGTTATGGGAGGATGTATAGATTTAATTTTTCTTTAATAAAGAAAAATCTAAAATTCAAACCTGAAATTCGTAGAATTTGACGAGACGAGGCTTGCCTAGATCATTCATCACTATTACTCCTCGTATCATTTTGCAAGTTCGCTTCCAGCTCCGTAGATTTTTGATGGCAGGGAACTCGGTTTTCATTTCATCAGTTTGAAGAGAATTACAATGTTAGTCCTTATGCATTAACCATTTTAGTAAACTGGTTCATAATATTTAAACAGGAGCAAGTTAGTACTCATTGCACTATTAGTTTGACTTGACATTTTCTATAATTCTATATTGTCGTAAGGGTAAAATAAATAAAACTCAAATAATTTTAATAACAAACAAATTAAAATAAAATAAATGAAGTAAATATAACAGGAGAAAAAATGAATGAAAAAGGAAAACCAAATAAACCTTAAAAAGTTAAATTGTTATGAGATTCAGGACTTGTCGGCCGAGATTAAATTTTAGTTGAAAATTGTTTTTCTGTCCGTTGAAGCCATCAACGGTAACAATTCAGCAATTGCGACTGCCTTTTCAATGAGAAATGGTCAAAAAGCAACGGCACAATAATCAATTTTGGAGAGATGAAAAGCCCTTCCAGACAGGGGCTCAAAATGAAGGTACAATTGTCATTTCAATTTAACTATGACTCTTTTATCTTCAAAACTGAATGGGAAATGTTTATTGAGAATAAGGGGGTGAACGAAATTGAAATGTTGGCCTATGGATTAAATTGCTATAAATGGTAAATATGGGGACAAACACTGTAATTGACCCTTTAGTTAACCTTCTTTAACCAAGAAACACTTCTGTCCAGTTTCTTCGGTAAAATATTTCGCTGGCCCAATTTATACCATATCATGATTTACACAAAACTTCAAACCACTTTCTAATAATCACTCATCTTTGAAATGTTACATTCCCTCCATCATCTTCCAAATTCCATTCCACACATTGCTGACGTTTCACACAAAATATTTTCGAAACTTACCACGTGTAATTTTTGTACCACACGTCAACAACATAACCACATATTTCATTGTATATTGTTGTTGTACACAATCTTACATAAAATAATACTACTTATACATAAACAGTTAAAATGACTTGCATAAGTCAAAATGAGAGGGAAGAATTATTTTTTTGTTCGAAGAAATTATGACATAATCATATCTCACCATATTATGGGCCGTTTGATTTTCATTATTGTAGAATGAAAATGAAAAATATAAACGTTATTAGACCCCACACGAGATAGCAATTCCAAATTGACGGCTTGTTATATTTTTCATTTTTATGGATGAAAAATGAGAAAAAAACGGAAGCTATATGTATGTAAATCATTATATAAATATATTATGTATATGTAACACAACCGACTTACACATGGAGTCATAAAACCAATGCTATGTTACTCTCAAAGAACCCAATCACCCATAATCAGGTAGAAATTACATTTCATTATGTATTGTTGCGTATAAACTTACAGGTCTTGTCGTAAATGTGACAATGTAAGATCATTTGAGCGCACTAAGATAAGAGGTTAAAAAAATTAAATAAGTCAAGAAATCCACATTGCAAAGTAACGAATTCAATCTTCTACAAGGGATTGATTCCATAGCCTTACAAGGGTTCAATCCAAGGCTGACGCATCGAAAATTTTCCATCTAACAATACCACAACGGATGCCTTGAGCATTTCTTACCATTGCCACAAAATGGTTTATAAAACTCGCTGTTCAATTGCTTGTATCTGGAATCTCATTTTAAGCTTTTCGGACAAGAAGTCACTGTAAATGAACTGAAGGAAAAACTCTAATGCGAATGATTGGATCAGTTAAAGACCAAGGCGGCATAATGGGTTCCTCTTAATAAGACCAAGATCCACCTGCAAAACAAGACAAGAAAATCATGCAACCGAACTATGTAAGAAAACACACCTCGATAGCACAAAAGGTACAAGATAACATTACCTTGTGTCCGAAGAGATCTCTGATGTTGTCGATCCCATAAAGTATCATAGTGGGCCTGATGTAGAAGTGAAGAAAAATTGAAGATTTAAAAAAATTAAAAGAAATAAAGAGTTAGCATACAAAAATGGTTAATACCCAAATTAACAGCTGTAAAAGTAAAGACTACAAGAATGTCAATAATGAAGTAAAATAATAAGGTCGCAATCCATAAGAAACGATAATGGTGATGTTAAAGAATTTGCCAACCTTTCAAGTGAAAGGCCCCATGCGATAACCTGAACATCTTCAGGAAGCCCCATGGGAAGCAGCATTTCAGGTCTGAACATGCCTGAGTTTCCAATTTCTACCCATTTCCCTAAACCTTCATGATAACTGACAGAAAACTATGGAATTACTTTCGGAAATGCTACAGTAATTTCAAGTGATAATTTTTTCTTTTCTACTACCTGAAGATTTCCATGCTGGGTTCAGTATATGGATTGTAAGCAGGCTTGAATTTCAGCTTGGACATTCCTGAAACCAACAGATACAATACAAGGACATTTGTCAGTACTCTGCTATCTGTAAATCTTTTCCAAAAGCACAACCAGGATCGTTTACAAAACAAAGGTTAAAAAAACTTCATGTCGACCAAAGCTTATATATCAGAGCATTAAAATATAAAATGCTTTATTGAGAGAAGCTCTTAAAATAAAAGGCAGATATATTTACCCAGACGAGTGAAGAAATCTTCAAGAACTCCTATCAAATGTCCAAGGGTAAGACCGCGATCGCAAATTAAACCTAACCATCATAAGAAATAAGGTCAGTTAATGAGGGAGCAGATAAATTGCACTAGTGTAATTGATGGAGATATAGTTACAAGTTAACGAGGAATTTAAAATAGAGTTTCATTCAAAGTATGTTTGTTTTAATTAGATTAGATTAGTTTTAAAAATTCGATAAAGTTATAGCTTATTAGACATTCTTTTGATTTGAGATTAGTTGCTCTGTATATAGAAGGTTTAATCAATGTAATAGACACCCTTTAATACGTATATGATAAATTGATTTCTTCTTGGCTCTCAATTCTTCTCTTCTTGGACCCCCTTTCTCTTCTTGTTCTTCAATTGTTAATTGCCAAATTAATACGCTCCTGCGTTAGTACTATTTATCAACCAAAGAAACAGAGCTATCTAGACAGTCATATTTGCTGTATTGTTATGTAATTCAAAATGTAATCAAAATGAAAATAGCCAAGTTGTCAAGTTTGGACCAACATAAAGGTTCCATATCTCCAATGGCCTATACCCAGAAGCACGTAGCTTCCTAGGAACAAGCAGACAATCCTAATAAAGCTTTCAAATTCATAAGCGGATTTCTTTCCTCCTATTGTACAATGTTGGATTTACTATCACTAAATCCTTGTCATCAACGAAAATATATGTGACTTGTGATGCTACAAATGGCTAGAGGGTTGAACCACAACAGCTAATCAGAATTTTGGTTTTAAATTTGCACAGCAATATTTGTGCAATTACTCTATGATTCCTTCTATACAGCTTGCAGTGTTAAAGGCAACATGAATACAAACCTCATTGAACCATGGAACCCTACATACACTTCTTTAGAAAATGAAAAATACCTTCTATCTGGTGGAACTCTGCAAGATGCGTTCGATCCACGGCTTCATTCCTGAAAACGCGATCTATTGAATAGTACTTTTTGGGAGCAAAATCCTGCCAAAAAGAAAAACTTCTTGAATGATAGCATAGTAAAGAATATGATACCAGAAACCTCACTGCCATTCCAAACACCCTTGTGTGACATCTTCGAAAATAATATTGACAACAATAACTAAAGAGAGAATAAACATAGTGAAACGCAGGCCGCCATAATAATGAAAAAATAAACATTTTAATTCAACAAAGACGTGCCTAATATCTTGGGCCAAGAAAAACTTCTTATGAAGGGAGCTCTATAAGTAGCGAAATTTTCCCCAAAAAAACATGATGCTTGAATAGCAAATAAATAGAAAGATGCTACATTGAAGAAATAGCAAATAAAGCTTAGAAAATGATGAAGAAGAAAACAAAACAAAACATGCAGAAGACATCCAGTACCTTAATCTAAACATTCAGATACATCATACTTGTTAGAAAAAAGGAGGGAAAAACAGAAACGCTTGTGCAAACATAAAAAAAGAGCACTTGTAAGCACACCATGAAAGAAAAGAAAAAACAAATACCTGTGCAAGTGCATAAAGCATCCTGGAGGAAACGGCAGTGGTATGAGTCCGCAGAAGATTCTTGTTTGCTTCTTCTCTCTTCCATTCATAACCATACCTAGAAGAAATGGAAAATTTAACACAAACCTTCAAGTGATGTTGACTAAATGTAAAAATTATGCAGTCGCCTACCCCCTGGACCCATAACCACCAGATTCATGAACTCCCTTTACCCGCTCAACATAATCTTCAGGAAGCACTTTTGTAGTAGAAGGCTCTGTAAAATATTTATTAACATAAGAAATCTGAAGAAAATTGGAAAAGAAACTAGAAATCCAAGATAAATGCCAAACCTACCTTTCAAAAAGAATGTATCGTGCGAATCACGAGCTGGGTGTTGTTGAGGCTGGAAAAGTGCATCGAAGTTCCAGAAGCTACAAAACCCAACAAAATCATCATAGATTTATACCAGCCGCCTCTTAATGTACAAGTACACAAGGATAAAACCAACCAAAAGAAAGATCCTAAAGGAGCGTGTAAGGGGGCACTACAGGAGAGGGCGGAAGGGAGAGTTCTTTTTTTTTTAACTTTCATTTTGATTCAAAGAAAAATAATGTTAGAGAGGGTAGAAAACTTTTGGAAGAGAGGGGTGGACCCCATTCCTCAGTTGAAGATGTGTCATCCTTCCTCATGCTTATCTTCTACAATAGTTGAGAGACTAATTTTTTGTGCACTCTCTGCATCAGTCTCTTAAAAAGCAAGCAATTGTAGGTATTACCTAAAGGCACGGATGGGAATTTTACAGTAAAATCTGGCTTTCAAGACAGTTTACCTGCTTTCAACAAAATTGTTAGTTGGCATCTCTTCAAACCTACACACAAGGAAAGGCAAGTCAGCAATGATGACCATCACAGAAGG